CTTAACTTAATGCAGTAATTCTTATTTATCTATCTATCTTTTGAATACGGCTTGTATTTTTGCCTGTTACCCGCTGTAAGCCAGCGTTGTGCTAGCTGATATATTCCCTTTCATCCTATTTTAATAAAATTATGTAAAAGTATTTGAATGATTAAACACAACGGTGATTAAATGGCATTTTAATTAACGACGCTGTCACGTGCTTGATACCTTTGCGCTATTGAACTTTTCCTTCCGTTCGTTGTAGAGGTGTATTGTTAAGGAGTAAAGTATACAGCGAATTTTAGGCTTTTTCTGCGATGAATTGCTCCATATCCGATTTGTGCAACTACTCGAATCGTCGTTGATATGATAAATCTGGTGTTTACGCTACCCCGAATTGTCTTCGGAAATATTTATTCCTAATTAGTCGACGGTTGTGAACGTTTGACGTTTTCATCGAGTTTAGTTAAACGGTCCTGTTGTACGCAAACTTTCACTTGCTTTCAATAAGTTACGATGTCTAAAGTGAAATCATAAGTAGTGTTTTTATTCGTGTGCACTGCTGTCTTTTCAGGTCAGGGATCCGAAAGGCCGTCATTCAATTCGTAGTCTGCCGGGATCATGTACGGCAGATTCCCGAAGCCGGTCCCAGCGGAAACTCATTCAGGCAAACGGAGGCACAGGCGTGCCTTCAAGTCAGTCGTGCTACGCCATGAAGGATGGTGGCAAGGATGACTTCCTGATGCCTGCCGTGCATGCCAAGTTATCATATTGCGACAACAGCAACGTGTGGAGTCGCAACGCAGCACCATACTACGTGGAGTCGAAGGTTCAGAAAAAGAAAGGGCCTCGATCGTTGGACATCACTTACAAAGCTTCCAAGTACGAGCGTCACAACAAACATCCGGCAGTTAGGTGAGTGTAGTGTTTAAGATAATTCGAATTTTTCTTAGTGCCCGCAGTATTCTTTACAGTAATTTAGATCTGTCTTTTGATCTATCCACGTATGTAGACGTTGGGCTTAGGTTAAAGTTTATAAATATTAAATGCTAATTTTTCATGTGTTTTGCAAATAGGTTAAGACGAAACCGATGAGGTCACTAAATGCGCGATCACTAGCAAGATTCGTAACTGTTTTGCACCTCAAGGTAGTAAATGAGTGTAAACTTGTAAGAGGGTAGATCACGTTTAGTGTAATTGTTACCCATTTGAACCATGTGTCTTTATTAATGTCGGGTTCGCAGTTTAGGAGGAAATCAGCATATGGTAATTTTAGCGTTCTTTTAAGAAATCTACCCTAGATACCGGCTTCATAGTTGTTATTTGATGTCTTGAAATACGTTAATATGCGTTCAACTGCTCCGAAACTACATCTGACGATGTATTGCGCGGCTGCGTTGTTTTTTATTCTTGTCTGCTGGTGAAACATTTAAGCAGGCCACGACCGTGGTGTCTCAGTACTGTGTACAGTATTGCTGTTTTGCATCCCTTTTGCCAACAGCATTACCCTGCTTGTCGCAGGCGATGTTTCAAGAACTGTTATATTCTTGGTGATGTTCAACTATTGTACGATTATTGCCTATTTAACTGGTCTTCCTTTACAACTTTAAAAAAAGAACTTCACTGCGCCATGAAATCCACTAGTGGGGGAGCTTATCATTTATTAATGTGCTTCGGAGTGCTAACTCATATGTTCGATTTCGTGCAACCATGTATATTTCGGATACCGGCTCTTAAAAGAGTGATATTAATACGTTCGTTTCGTACAGAGTCTTTTTGCTTGTTTCTCACTTTTTTGTCTATTTATTGCTTTCGTGCTTTCTTTATATTCCATTGTATGTAGTGCGAACGTTTGCGAGGACAGCTGGTCAGATGTCGCATCGGACATGTATCGGTTGGATCGCAGGCCGATCGCTCTCGTCCAGTCCAAGAACAAGCAATACTCTAACATGCCGTATCGACACTCGTGCCGAAACGCGGAGAACATTAGTAAGGGATTCATGTGCTGGTGTAAATCCATTCTCTTACGAACGCATTCCTATATGTAGGGTTACCGGAAGGGAACGTTTTCCAGCAGAAGGAAGAATGTTTTAAAGATCGGTCGAATAATATCGGGACCATCGTCGAGGATGCTCCGTTGTGTACGTTTTCGGTCAGCAGGTCAACGATCAGTGGCGACGCAAGATTTCAGCCGGGAAATTTAAACTCACCGACTTCTGCATTCGTTGGCTCGTCGTTGGGACAAGCTGCTCATCCGCCACCTCCTCGTCCTCCTAAAAAATTGGTGCGTTATTTTGCATCAATCAAGATGTTGGGCTTCTAGTCGCAAATTCTAAGGCGTTTAACTGTTGACTGTTAGAGTTGCGAAGCAGGTAACAAAATCAACTAGTTTCTGTCGAGGTTAGCACTTTATTCAAGGTCGACTAGCTAGAAGAGTGGGTCCGCTTTCGCCTCTTCATTCGTTACGCTGCATATCTTTTTGTCATTGCTCGCAGCATCGTCGTTTCTTTCTGATCCGCAAATTTCCGTTGTATCACACTTCATTTCGCGTGCCATGTAAAGGTGTTTCTTTTCTTGTTTAAACAATATCTGTAAAGAAATAAATTCGCGTACTCGTCTCTTTGTCCACTGCTAACACTCTCACGTAATCATTCACGCATCTACCGAATTAATGTGGTTTTCGTTTCTCGTCGACGACGCCTAAGTTACTGATCTTTCCCAGTGCAATACACGAAGCAGCGTGCAGGTGTCTTGCTGAACATAACTTTACTCTGATTTACTTCGTGTGTGCTTTTGTCCCTCAGAACGCCGCTCACCGTTTGTCTGTTTGGTCACGCCCTGCTTGATAGAAACTAGGTACATGAATGTCTTTAATCTAGAATATACTGACGGCCTGTTTTTTGACATTGATGCTACCGCTTTGTTGTCACCATTGAAGGAACATGTCAGACATTCGCCTGTTCATGCCAGTATGACAGCCGGTTGCCTCTGCACCATCGCTGATGTTTTATCATTTTTGTCCTTATTGTCCTTTGGGCTAGCCAACACAACCGTGATTTTTTGTATCTCTTTATTAATTAGAAGTATGAAAACTGAAAAATTATGAAAAAAACAATCGTACAGTTTCGTCCTGTCAACAACTGTATAAATCATTAATCATCTAAATACTTCTTCAACTGCTGTGTGGCATTATTATTGTATTTAAAATACGTTTCACTTTTCGTGATCACTCTTGTTCCACCCCTATAGGCCATCTTACAAAAATGGGACAGTTATCATCCGAGTGATGCGTGGCAACGATTCTGTGCAATAATTGCTGTTCTGATAGTTCTTGAAGCTCAAATTTGCATATGTGGTTGTGAGCTCTGTTTTCGTGTTCCTTGTCTGGGGGGGGCAAGTTAACATTTGCCTTAGAAATTTTCTTAATGGTTCGTTTTGTTTCTTTTCTGGCAAATCGAAGCTGCTCTTTTTTGTTTCTGTTTAAGCATTTTATCACTTGCACGCTGGTAAACGATATTGTTTTATCCATCGTCTTGTATTGTTCATTCCATGTTACGCCTTTCTCGTACGGTCCTAGTGAGTCGTATGAACGACCACACACTGCGTTTCACCATTGCAGAATGCTTCTGAAAATCCCTTTTATTTTAGTCAGACCGTTTGTTTCCTTTCAGTAACATCGTCTGTGTTGAAGCCGTAGGTTTTTGAGAATTACGTAGCTCCACCTTGTGAAATTTCTGCAGTCGAGCTTCTTACCGCTTTTCTTTACTCGACATTCATAAGAAATCATGTAAATCCAGCCTTATTTTCCTATGTGGGTTGAATGTATTTCACATGAATAAGCCATTTGCCTAGAATTAAGATGGAAATTAATTGCAACCAAGTTTAAAATCAGTTTTGCTTAGTTTGCCATAGAGACAAGGTCCACATGCAACGGAGACTGTGGAATTATTCTTATCCTACACTTTAACCGATGCCATCTGGTTGACTCTTAATATCTTCATCTTCCATGGCCGCTTTTTTCGCGTCGCGGAAGCAGATGCCTCAGACAGTGTTACCAACGTTCGCGATCTTGTGCCAAGGATGGAGCTTCGGCTTAAGACAGCTGCAGTATAGAACAGACTCCTTCTATATATTTGCACCAGGTTAGTTTGAGCCGTCCCATGGGCCTTCTGCCGGTAGTTTGGCACGAAAGAGTTGCTTAACCTTCCTTTCTGGAGGCATTCGCAACACACGGTCAGACCGTCGCAGCTGTGATTTCTCAATCTGGGAAAGCAGAGGCTGCTCCTATTTTCAAGCCATCTCGAGAGGCGTAAGGCCAGCGACTCGTCTCAAGAATTCAATTTCACCTCCTTGTTCCAGGGATCAAAGTTTTTCAGTCGTGGTCCACGACTCATGACCGTAGGTAAGTATGGGGATAAAGATCGACTTGAATACCGAGTGCTTCATTTTC